TTAGTTCAATTACTAAATGCCATTGAAACAATTAAGGTAATTATAGTAACATGTTCTTTATTTATTGTCAATTCAAACTCAAAACAAAACATTAATATCAAAAAAAATTTATTGACCTGTCCAAACTTGTGGGTTTTCTCCAGGTCCTCCAGTTTCCTCCTACCGCTAAAGACCCCTACGCGCATGCAAATTATTGAAATAAAATTGAACCATATGTTAGTCCCGAAATGACCTAGTTTGTGTCGAGTGGACTATGGTCTAGAGAGTTGATTATTGGTTTAGCATGTGAATAAATGTCTAATTAATGATAATATTTGAGGCCGAATGAAAGGTCTCAAATAGGTAGATTTACCTGTTACATAATGTATCTTTAAGTACAAATTGTACATTATATTCTGTTATAGTAACACTTGTACCAACAGGATAGTATTGTAGGTTCTCATCATTATAAATTCAGTATGGAGCATGTTACTAAATATTTGAAGAACCTATATATATTATATATATATATATGATCTAAAATTCAGTATTGAGTAGGTTACTAAATATTTGAAGAGCCTATATATATATAATCTACATATTAAACTATGAATACAAGGCGGTCCATAATAGTAATAATAGGATGAGAGAGAGAGAGAGAGAGAGAGAGTTTAATGTCCACTCAACACAAACTAGGTCATTTCTGGACTAAAACATGGTTCAATTTCATTTCAATAATTCGCTTGCGCGTAGGGGTCTACAGCAGTGGGAGGAAACCGATAAAACCCACGAGGTTGGACAGGCGACCATATTCCTTGCCACGTACTTCCGGGGAATGAAAACCCCACCAGTTGACTCAATGACAGACGGTATGATACAGGGCGCATCCAACCCCACAAGCAGACTAATGTATATATAGGCCTATTTATGTACCTGGTAAGATTTTACCCGTTTGAAGATTATTACTGAGCTTAATCATTGTGAGTGAACCTAAAATCAAACACAACACAGTTCTATGGATAACAATCACTATATTATATACACACGACAAGATTTCACCGGTCGTTATCAAACATACAAATTACAATTGAGGAAAAAATTGTGACAGTGTTATATATATGTACATTGAACAATAATACCAGAAACCATAAGTTAACAATCATGAAACCCTAGCTTCATTGGTTATCAATTTAATCCTTTAACCGCTGTACTGTTACTATACTATATGCTCTCATAATTAAATCTTAGTATAATTACAAATTAAGATAGGGTTTCATGATTGTTAACTTCGTGTGTTTATAATATAGTGATTGTTATCCATAGAACTGTGTTGTGTTGTATTATGTTCAATCGCTACATGCCATTCAAAGATTATATCAAACATACAGCTTGGTGTATCATATGATCGAAATTAGGATATTTTTGTTCACTGCTGTGGATGAATGAGCAGCTTTATTGGGAAACAATTTAACGATTCAATAGGCTAAAGAATAGTCAGAAATTCATAAAAACATGTGCAATGTGCAGTTAAAAGGTAGCGTTTTAACATGGCTTGAAAGAACTCATTTTCAAAGTGCGCAGGTGCTGTCGGCGTGGGGTGTCCGGACCACAGATGTTTTTGTTCAATGCAATTTTTTATTTATCTTTTTAAAATTTGTCTGAAAAAACATCTTGTCATGCAGGCTACATGTTTCTATTAATTCTGGGAGCTGCAGTGACTCAGTGGGTATTGTGCTGGGTAGGTAATTTGAAGGTCCACAGCTCAATCCCAATGTTAGCAGAGAGATTTCCACAGGATTGTCCAGCGTGGTATTGTCAAATCATTGTTATACAGTTGTCCTGAATTATAGTATTTTATCTTGGTGAATGCATTAGCGCAGCTACAAAATACAATGTCTTGTTTTAAAGCGTAGGGTCGCCTATCCAACCTCGTGGGTTTTCTCCGGGTCCTTCGGTTTCCTCCCACTGCTAAAGACGCCTATGCGCAAGCGAATTATTGAAATAAAATTGAACCATGTGTTAGTCCTGAAATGACCTAGTTTGTGTCGGGTGGAGTTAAATCCCATCTCTCTCTCCATCTCTCTCTCTCTCTCACTCTCACTTTTTTTAAAGCCAACTGCCACAGTTTAAGTTCTTGAAGATATAAAAAAGGTTTTGTATGTCTTCTACTGCTGTATTTATTACCATTGAGAGCTTATTATAATACCTGATATATAAACCCTACTGTTTTAAAGAGATGAGAAGACAGAATAAATGAAAAATAGATTTTAAGACCATGAACAATCAAACCTACTTTTATTTTTTTTTAAAAAACAAACATACTTGCCCAGAAATTATTTATTACTACAAACAATGAGACAAGACAAATTAGAATTCAATATTGGTCCATTTCATATTGATGTTATTATGTTGCAATGAAATGTGGGATCCTAATATCCAATATTTAAGACACAATGGACATTTTAAAATATTGTACATGCGTCGTGTATCATATCGGCCGCAAAACCAATGAGCAAAGAAAATTACAATGCGGCAGTAAATAGTAATGACTGATTCACAAATGATAATAAAAAAACAAGAAGAATGGGCTAATTAGGCGTAAATGATTGTCGCTCAGGTTGGACTAATCGCGTTTTTCAAACATAATTGATTAGAAATTACAATTTTAAAAAAAAAACTTAATATAAAATATAAATCACTTTATCTACACTCACACTCATATTACATTAATATGTGCTTTTAGATCCATTTATGGTTCCAAAAAATAGAGCCACATGCCCTTTAAATAACCCTTTGTCATGTTGATTCTTTAAGATCAAATAAAAGATATGCATTGTGTTTGTATTAACACCTGGCTATGATCTATTTCTACCTGAGAAATCAATAATATTAATAATACCTGGAGAAGCAAGGGGTGACAAAGAGGATCATATAGAGCTAGGTATTATTGAGGATATTATCTTTGTCCTGTGATCGTTGATATCAAGTAGCAGCTGATAAACTGTATTATCTCCCTTTTGTCTATCTCTTTCTCTCGGGTTAATAGATAGTCAATGAACTGTCACAGCAGTCAATTAATATTTGTTTACAATTAGGGAAAAAGAGAAATGGGGTTTAACGTCCACTCAACACAAACTAGGTCATTTCGGGACTAACACATGGTTCAATTTTATTACAATAATTCGCTTCCGCGTTGGGGTCTTTGGCTGTGGGAGGAAACCGGAGAACCCGGAGAAAACCCATGAGGTTGGACAGGCAACCCTACTCCTTGTCACGTACAACCGGGGAATCGAAACCCCACCAGTTGACTCAATGACAGACTGTTTCATACAGCTAACCATTTGGCCATCCAAAGCAATGAAATGAAATGGGGGTTTAACTTCCTACTGTTCTGCTCTGGGCTAATAAAGACGGGCATACGCCATACTGTGTGCTATGAAGGAAATTTTGCCCGGGCAGTGGCACTATGGCCTACTCTTATATCGAATGCCAACTGCCAAGGGATCTTTTACGTGCACACCAATGTATACATGGGTTCTTGGTTTTTCGTCCCATCTGAAGGACTAGACAGCTGTCCTTCTCAGGCCCTCCATCCTGCACCGCTGACAAGGGGAAAAACACGCCAGAAAATCCCAATGAACTTGCTCAGCCAATGCAGGGATCGAACACGTGACCTCCAGGCTAGTGAGCCATCGTCTTACCCACTTAGCCACCTTGGCTCCCCACTTGTTTACAAAGGGAAAAGAATGGAATGAAACCAGGGGACTCAGAGAAAACCCACAAGGATGGACAGATGCCCCTACTCCTTGTCACATACAAGCAGGAATCGAAACCACGTCTCAATGACAGATCTCATGATGCAACGTGCATTCGTTAACCATTCAGTCACCTGACCTCCCTAATCAAGACGGACAGATCAACATGTAGCAAGTAGAATGAAATGAAAGAGGGTTTAACGTCCTACTGTTCTACTCCATATGGGCTAACAAAGAAAGACATACACGCCATACTGCATAGTGTATGCACGTCTTCATTAGCCCAATTGGTGCAGAAAATTAACACATTCAACCCAACTTGATTTAATTTAAAAAAATTGGCTTGAGAAAAAAATCTAAGCACAAAAAATTGAATTAAAATTATTAGAAATTTTAAATTCTATTCATCCAGTAAGATTATTCTAATAAGAAATATGTCGTATTTTTCTGAGTTTAGATATAAATGCCACAAACACTATAATTCACATATTAGTCTGTTAATTACCTAATATCACTCAGGGACAGCGAACAGTTGTCGACCTGACATTTATTATCTAATCTAGACCGACCATTTTAAACTATGCGACAGCAGGAACCCAACATTTTTTGATGATTCACAATGAATTATTGTCAGACCAGCCTTGGAATTAAATTTACTTATCATCTTTCAAATACACTCACTAACTTTGTTTTTTTTTGTGTGTTTCAGGTGTGTGTTTCAATAAGCCAATGGTTGAATTTCATTGTTGATGACATACAGGAAAAAATTCATGAAGATTTCCTAGAATAAAGTTTTGAGGTGTAGAATTTTTGGCCACTGCAAACAGAGTCTAGCACCCAGAAAATATTCATTCCCAGTGAGTTGCCCAGGAAATTCAGAGGGCTATTATACTCATTCGACGCCACTTTTCGACCAAGTAATTTCCATTTTGGGCTACAATATTTTTTTCGATGATTCAAAATGAATTTGAACAATTTCCCAACAATGGTTTGGAACTAAACATTAAACACAGAAATTCCTGCTAAAACAACACAACTACACGATACCAGGGCCCTGTTTCTCAAAATCTTAACTCAAGATAAAATCCAAATTTTAATAGATACTTCAAATTTGATTGGCTAAGCACTAAAATCAATCTAATATTATCCAATTAAATTACTAAAATTTATATTATATTTCTTAGTTATAATTTCGTGAAACAGGCCTCCGAGTTGTAGTGATACATGCTTTCATTTACTGTGACAAGAAATAAAAACAGAACTCACCTCATTTGGCCGTTCTTGGCAACTGGTCCGGTTGTTTGTATATTCGTGACCTTGGCCAGACCATCTTGACCAACAGACAGTTTAATTCCCAGTCCTGCTATTCCTTTCAACACATCGATCTGAAACGGGCCATCATCAGTGCGTCTCTTGGGATAATCAGCTTTAGGGGTCTTAGACGAGAATGACGTTAATGAAGTTTTGATAGTCGAGTAAGATCCCGGCTGAGTCCTAATGGTTGTTACATGAGGGGATGTTGAGAATTTCTTAGGTGATGTTTGTTTAATATTTAAAGATAGTGGTTTCTTCGTGATTGGTTTTTCGGAATCCGTTCTACAAGAATCTGTTGTATCGGGAACTGTTCTAACAGGATCTGTTCTAATTGGATCTGTTCTAACAGGATCTGTTCTAATTGAATCTGTTTTAACTGAAGATTGATTTTTCAGATTCAATGATACAGGTTTTTGAGCAACACTTGTTGTTTGTGATTCAGTTACAACAGTTGATTTTTGATGTTGGCGTAGATTTGGTAAATTTGTTTTTTCGGCGATTGTATTTTCTGATAATGTTTTTATAGATTGTTCTGATTTTGTAAATGTTGCACGTTGGCGAGTTATATTTTCTGAATCATTTTTAATTAAATGTTTGGAATCAATTTTAACACTACTCGACTGATCCGATGCATTTTGACGAGGTTGGTTTTGATGTCTGTTCATATTTCTCCGATCAGAAATCGTTTCACTTTTGACGTGATCTACGGTATCACTAACTAATGATTTAACACTCATATTTTCATGCACATTAGAGTTATCTTCCCTGTCAGAATCCTCAATGTCGTCAATAACTTCAGAAACAGCCTTTTGAAACATTGACTTCTTGGGTTGGGCTTTATCCAGGCTAGGTATGATTTTAGAAAAGGCACCTAAAACAGCTTCAACAGTTTCTCGAGACACTTTTTGCCGCTCGATTGGACTCTCGTCAACAATGGATGCAGATTCTGAAGAAGTTTCAGATTTAGCACTGTCTGCACCAGAGCCTACATTTACTAATTGGAGAAGAATTTCTGATAAATCATTTTTTGCGTTTTGATCTTTGTGTTTCTGTTTTTGTGGTGTTCTTGGTGGGGTTGCGACACAACTACGATTTCCTAGTTCATCCTGAACAAATGCCATTGGTTGAATTGTCTCCTCTTCGTCAGCTGGTCTCGCTAGCTTGACCGGAACATCCTGGTATGTTGTCACGTTTATTCTATCACTACGATCACTTCGGTCGGCTTTTGATGTTTTGGGACGTGGTGGTTTTGACTGAACTTCAATTGTTGTTGATCTTTTATGCAAAGTGACAACAGGCTGCTGATTGGTCAATACAGGTGTGTTTAAATCTGATTTTCTTTGTGTCTCTTCGCTCTCTTGTTTCTCATCAATATCGTCAATAATGTCAGAAACGGCTTTCTGAAATATTGACTTTTTGGGTTGGTCTTTGTCAAGGCTAGGTATGATTTTAGAAAAGGCACCTAAAACAGCTTCAACAGTTTCTCGAGACACTTTTTTGCGCTCGATTGGACTCTCGTCAACAATGGATGCAGATTCTGAAGAAGTTTCAGATTTAGCACTGTCTGCACCAGAGCCTACATTTACTAATTGGAGAAGAATTTCTGACAAATCATTTTTCGCGTTTTGATCTTTGTGTTTCTGTTTTTGTGGTGTTCTTGGTGGGGTTGCGACACAACTACGATTTCCTAGTTCATCCTGAACAAATGCCATTGGTTGAATTGTCTCCTCTTCGTCAGCTGGTCTCGCTAGCTTGACCGGAACATTCTGGTATGTTGTCACGTTTATTCTATCACTACGATCACTTCGGTCAGCTTTCGATGTTTTGGGTCGCTGGGGTTTCGATTGCACTTCAATTGTTGTTGATTTCTTATGCACAGCCATGACTGGCTGTACATTCGTTGATTCTGCTGTCCTTGCATCTGATTGGACATTGTTTAATTGTTCCGGCTGGCCAGAATCAATCAAAATGGTGGCGTTTGGTTGGGCCGCCGGAACAAGCGATGCTCTGTTCAAAGATGGTGACAACTCTGTATTGTTGTTTTTGTTAGGAGGATGTGATCGTCTAGGGACAGGTTTTGGTGGAGCTGCAGTGGTTGGCGTTTTAAGTTTTCCAAAATCCGTTTCAACACCATGTGAGACATTTTTAAAATCTGACTTAGGAAGATGTCGCCTTGGTGATGCAACTGGGGATAATTTAGGAGAATCTGATTGGTTATCGAAAGTTATATGAGCGGTGTTACTATCTTTAGCATCGCCATCAACATTAAACAAAGTGGAACCCGGAAGTTTTGTAGGTCTCTGATGTTTCTGTAAATTGCTTGAATGTTCGTAACCGACGTCGACTCTTGTTATTCTTGGTGCCTCGTTCACAACAATATTTGTCACCTGATTTTCAATTGGCTGCGAATCCCTTTTTTTAAATAAATTTTCATTGACAACAGGTACTTTAGTTACTAATCCTTCATCTATCAAAGTTTCTTGTTCAAGGGAGATAAATCCAACTTGCACTGTTGTGACATTATTAGCAGACGACTGTATTTGATGAATGGGGGTCTGTTCTTGTTGTTTTGTTTTAATCGTATTATCAACAGCAGAAAAATTTCGACCATGACTGACAAACTGATTATCATTTCTCGTGGATGTGTCCTTCGATGACCTGTACTTTGATGCCGTTTCTACCACCTTATTTGTTGAATCTGGAGATAAGAAGTCGTCAATATTGACACTCTTACACGTCTGTTGAACTTGAGAAACAGATTTTACTCCAACATCAAATAACGTTGTTTGTTTCCCGTCTTCAATTACATTAGATACACGAGTTTGGAAGTCCAACGGTTTACCACAAGGAGAGGTTTCACTTTCCGTCTGCAAAGTATTTCCACTGTTCACATAATTTCCAACGTTCCTCACACCGGCAGACGGAACATTGCCAGACCTTACAACTTGCTCACCTCTGACACCTGAATTGTTTGGTTCATTTGTTTCAATTATCAATAATTCATCATTTTCTGGAAAATGTTTATCGAAATTATTGCTGGAGGCCACGGCAGTATGAATGGGTGTACTTGTTGAAGAGTTCAATAAATCGTCAATGTTTGTCACAGGAACATTAATTTCACCCGAATTGTTCAACGTGCTGGTTTCGCTCTCTCCTTGCGAAAGAGGATCATCCGAAAACTCCGCAGGTGGTGGAATATCCATGGTGGAACTTACGAATGAGCTGTTGGCACCGATCAAAAAATTTCCATCTGTAAACGAATCCATGTCATGTTTTAATCGCGTATTTGTTCCACCTGTTAAATCGAGAATATGCTGATCATATTGACCAATCGCTGACCCTGTGTTATTAAGAGCAGAAGACGAATTACTTGAATTCAAGGAGTCATCGTGGTTTGTTACAAAAGGTTGACTGTACGTTAATTTCACATTTTTCTGGGCAAACACAACATTCGCGTTTGATTTTGAACTAGAGAACCCGTGATCTGACTTCTGCTTTAAATCGTCCCCGTTTGCTACGTTATTATTTGTTTCAAGGCTGGCCGTCGACTCTCTACCATCGAGGTTAAAATCCATATTTAAACTTTCACGAGGCACTTGACTTAAAACTGTCAAAGTCAAATCATTTCCTGCCGTTTTCAGAATATTCAAACATTCATTTTGAGTGACACCTTTTAAAGTTTGACCATTACAAGCCACTAGTCGGTCTCCTACATGTACTTCACGATCACGAGCACATACACCACTTGGTAGCAATCTTTTTACCTGAAGAATACAAATAAAACACAAATTATAAACCCTCACATTATTATCTCTTACTAAAGACCAGGTGAATCCATGTGTGACAATACCTGTGTTCAGTCAAGCATGACTAACAGTCAGACATATATAATAATAAATATATATACTGTGTTATTCACATGAGGAAGACGTTTAAGTGAAGTGGGTGTTTATAAACGGGTGTATAATAAATATCAAATAAAATAAAAATATCATAAATATTTATCACACACTTGGGTATATTTAGCCTCGTTCATCAAGTCGCTTCATTACAAATGGTGCTTGAAAGCATTCTGGCACACAATTCATGTGCCAATTCAGAGGCCCATCTTTTCACGGTAAGATAACATCAATATTGATTTAAATTGACCAATAAGTCCTGTTTGCAATGTCGAAGACTGTGGATGATATTGAGTTAAAGACTTGCCTCCTATAAGGCACCGGAGGGCCTGAAAGGACAGCTGTCTAGTCATTCGGATGAGACGAAAAACCGAGGTCCCGTGTATACATTGGAATGCACGTAAAAGATACCTTGGCAGTTGGAATTCGATATAAGAGTAGGCGATAGTGCCGCTGCCCGGGCAAAAATTTCCCTCATAGCACACTGTATGGCGTATGCCCGTCTTCATTAGCCCAGTATAGGAGCAGAACAGTAGGACGTTAAACCCCATTTCATTTCATTTCATTTCCTATAAGGCACATATTGTGACATAAATTTGTCTAATATCAAGATATTTTCATGAATAAATCAGAATATCTCTAATAGTTTTCTCACAATATTTGAAAGACATGAATTCTAAATTTTATTCTCATTTTCCCAATATCAAAACAGTCACTTCAATATTTCTCGTTATATTTGAGACACATGTAAGGCTGATGGGACCTGTGGGTACCATCATATTTCGTATTTACAGATGCAACCGGTCCCTTACTGATGAATGAGCCTGCAAGAGTAAGGTATGTTTTTCCTGGTGGAGTGCAGTGATTTAGTTTGATCCTCCTGACACCTGATAGGTTTGTACCTCTGTCAAGCCTACATTCACTGCATTTTTTGGGGGAGTGCCTTCAGGTCTAAATACTATGGCCACCTGCAGAATTCGTCAAGTTCATGAGATGTAAACAGGGCTAGCGCTAACCCTAACCTAAGATCTAGCAGTAACCCTAACCAACAATCCTTAGCAACAATCACCTTGACAAAATCTGCAGGTGGCCTTAATATTTACATCTGACCATGGGATTGCCCTTGATGGGGAGGGCAGTGGCCCGAGCCCCGCTAGGCCCCACTATGGAGGGCAGTGGCATATTCCCCACTAGGCTCCACTATAGATTCGCTACTGGACACATTTCACATTTTGTCTAATATGAAAAAAAAAAGTTCTTTAATAATTTCTTACAGTTAATTTGAGATAAATTTAAATTTACATTTTATTCACATTCTTCTAATTGCCTTTTAATGTTTCTAACAGTATCATTAGAAATACTGTACAATATGGCAATTATTGTAGGGTTGTGAACCATCTCAAAGTATCTAAATGAAATTTTATTCCGCTCTCTTATATATGTGTATCACAACATGATAGGAATTCTTACTTGTTGATTCAAAACTTCTATTAGGTTTCAGGTAAAAATGATTAAAATGTGTGACAGGACGCTATATTGTGAAATCGACCCTCATGAAGACCAGTAGGTAATATACACAGATGTGATTAACTACTGACTGTCATCGTTATAACACCCTCTTTTATCCTTTCATGATCCTTTATAAGGGGACAGATCTAATAATAGGATTATACTATATATACAACTATTTTTAAGTATGGGTCAACGATTTTACCAACAGGTTTAGTCAAACACACCTTGTACGACCTAAAATACCTGAGTGGTAGGTAATTCACTAAACAAAATACCCCCTTTTCTGTATAACCCTGAATTCTACTAATTGGTCGACACGACGGATCAACTCATTCTCACGAATCAACGACCTGTGTAGAGACGATTTAAATCATTGAAAGAAATCATTTAAAGGGGCTAAAATCTCCAACTCAATATTTTCTATAATATTAGAAATTAAAATACAGATTTGACGTCATCCTTTGATGTTGGCATACTATTACTTCCAATAATGTACGGGCAACTTGCCAATTGTACATTATCTATACTAGATGAAATATTGGACTCGCGTGACGTATTTCATTGAAAAGCACGTGCAGGATAGTGTCTGTATTTTAAATTGTTTAATGGTCTCGAGCTAAAGACATTGCGTAATATATTAAAACAACACTCGGCTAATGCCTCGTACAGTATCAATATATTTCTTAATGTTTCGCTCTCGACCATTAAAACATACTTAAAACCACGAATTATAATTCAATATTGATCAATTTCAATCAATAATGATGTTACTATATCACGTCGTGAAAATATAGGATCCTGCTAATCATCCAATATTCTAAAATCATTACAATAATAGCCTACACAAGTCATGTATTTTATGGTTTGAGCGCCATTTGTAATAAACAAAGAAAAACATATCCTAAAAGACAATGCGGAAGTAATTAGTAATGGCTTATTGACAAACGACAGATTAATAATAAAATATTGTGTAGAATGGACTAAGCAGACGTAAACAACTATTCATTCAATCTAGACTGTCTATTAATTTACACAGTTCATGTACGCGTATTTCATGGAACCTAATAGATTAGAAAGTACAATAAATTTCTTATAAATCACTTTATATACATTCATATTACATTGATATGTGCTTTTAGAACCACTTTCTTATATATTAAAGTAACAAAGAATAGAGCCATACGCCCATTAAGCCTGCAAAAATATTTTCGTTTGTACTTGTGTATATAAACAAGTAAATTGCCTTTAATAGTATGATTCTTTACAAGGAAATGGTAATAGAGAGATTCTCTGCTGATTTAAATTATAGATCAAAGGGGGCCACAGTGGTTGTCTCAACTAGAATGTCCCTGATTTTGATCCAGGCTTCACGTGGACAAGATTTGGGGATTTTTTTAGCCCGGTTCTCACTTGTAATGGAGCTGACAAGAAAAGTGTATGAGACAAAAACTGAGGTCCTGTGTACACATTGTCGTGCACGTAAAAGAACCCTTGACAGTTGAAATTCCATGAAGGGTATAATTTCAACTCAAACAATTGGGCCGGGAAAGTTTCCTGTGGTTTTCCAGCATTGTTTGCTCTTGTCAGTGATGCACGAATTTGAGGGCTGGAAAACAGAATTCCCATGTACATGTTGGTTTCCCCTGGTCAGTGATGTAGGACAACGTATAGTTCTTCGGATGGTATGAAAAACCAAGGTCAAATGTACACAGTGGCGTGCACATAAAAGAACCTTTGACAGTTGGAAACCAAAATAAGCGTACGCTGTAGCACCGTTGTTCCGGCACACTTTCTTCCATAGCACACTGTATGGCTTATACCTGTCTTCAATAGCCCAGTCGGAGCAGAAAAGTAGGCCATTAAACTCCATTTTATTTCATTTTATTTCATGTAGCTGTATATAGCCTATTATAATATTGACGGACAGACAACAATGTCTACATTCCTACTATACAGGTTCTATCAATAACATTCAACAATGGTTACATTCCTTCTTTTAAACACGTATAGTTTCTATCAATAACATTCAACATTTTGCCTATATTCTGTACAATAATATATTGTTCCTGTCAGGTGATAGGGCACCCTGGGTCATCGCAATGTTTTCTTTTTAGCAGACGCAAACAATAATAATGGACTTAACAAACCATGATTGACAGTTATAAACATTTACCGATAGTTAAAGTTCCTTGTTTGTTTACATTTTATAATGATATCCCCAAATTCACCCAAGTTTTGGTTGAGCAGACATTAAGGCCGCTTTTCCTGTTAATCTCCTATCATTTGTTATTGACACTACCAGAGAGAAATGGGGTTTAACGTCCACTTGACACAAACCAGGTCATTTCGGGACTAACATGGTTTAATTTTATTTCCATAATTTTCTTGCGTGTAGGGGTCTTTAACAGTTGGAGGAAACAGGAGGACCGGGAGAAAACCCACGAGGTTGGACAGGCGACCCTACTCCTTGTCACATACAACCGGGGAATCGAAACCATGCCAGTTGACTCAATGACAGACCCTACGATGCAACGCTCACATGCTAACCATTCAGGAATCCCCCCTCCCCCACCGCGCGCCCCTGAACACTATTTAGACGACAAAATGCCTCATCAACGTAATATGTTATCTGTTTATTGAAAAATTCAAGATTTGCAAGAATTAATATGAGGTTATTTTTTCTTGTATCCCTCCAACAAAAAAATATTAGGTTTGTTGTACTCCATGCCCGTCAATAATTTTTATTAATTAATTAATTAATGAATTCATCTTCATCAATCTCTTACCAATCAATCAATCAATCAATCAAAATAAATTAATTAAAATTCAAATCAATTTAAGAGAATATTATAAAATAAAGTATTTAAACAATCATTTCCAATGTGATTCAGTCAAGTAGCGTGGTACCTTCCCCCTGCTAAAGGATTCCCTGGTTGTACGTGACAAGGAGTAGGGTCGCTTGTCCAACCTTGTGGGTTTTCTCTGGATCCTTCAGTTTCCTCCAACTGCTAAAGACCCCTATACACAAGCGAATTATTGAAATAAAATTGAACCATGTTAGTCCCAAAATGACCTGTCCAACCTTGTGGGTTTTCTCCGGGTCCTCCAGTTTCCTCCCACTGCTAAAGACCCCTACGTGCAAGCAAATTATTGAAATAAAATTAAACCATGTTAGTCCCAAAATGACCTAGTTTGTGTTGAGTGGACGTTAAACTCCATTTTTCTCTCTCTCTCCTTCTGCAAAAGATCCCTACACACAAGCGAGTTTTAGAAATAAAATTTACCATATTTTAGTCCCAAACATGACCTAGTTTGTGTTGAGTGGATATTGTCAAACCCAATTTCTCTCTCAG